AAGAGGATTATTTTTTAGTTTTATTACGTTATTTGGAGGAAACACATCTACTGCAAAGTTAATCTTATATGTGATGGTTTTAATCACATATTTGTTTTATTTGCAGTTTGTTATATTAAGTACTTGTAGTAAACGATTATTATCTAAAACTCCTATTTTCACTTCTGCCTTCTGTCTATAATAATTAATGTAACAGTTTTTACAGGATATATTTTTTGAAATAGCGTTCATACGATATACTTTTTTGCTTAGCATCGTGGTGCTACATGGACTAAAAAAAATCGTTATCTCCCATCTGCATAAAATGATTATTTATTTACTTAACTGGAATTGTTGTTCGAGATCAATGTAGGGGCGGTCTGGCAGTCGGTTCTGTTGATTGCTCAGAACTGATACGGGGGTTAAACATACACAGATACAATATTTCAATTTGGAGCCTCGCTATCTAGATCTTCGCGTGTAAGGATGCACGTCTTTGACTCGTACAGGGTACTCAAAATTTGTTACTCCTATAAGCTATCTTTGTCGAAATTTTTACTCTTAAGTATAACAAAATTTTTGTTTGTACAAAAATAATTATAGTCACATAAATTATTTTTATTACAAGTTAGCAATAATATTGATAACGGTCTTATCGGAAAAAACGTATTTATTTGTTTGTTGCAAACAGTCAAAGATATTCGCATTACTGGAAATTGCTTAATCTTATCTGGGACTTAATTTTGGAACAATATATTTACCTTATTTTAAAAATGTCAAGTGGGTATATTGAACGATGATCCCATAAAATCGATAGCGATATTCGTTTTATAATTTATTTAAAATAATCTTTATATTGTATACTCAGAGTCAAATTTTGTTCTACAAAAATTTAAAAGAAAGCAAATTGTTCAGTAAGAAAGAACTTACAATTTCTTATTCTATCATTTTTTTCATAACTTTGTTAGTTTTTAAAATATTTTGAAAAAAGACGATTTTTTAAAAAATTTAAAAATTTTATTCAAAAGTAAATGATTTTTTTTTAAATTTAGGCTTCTAAAATCGTTCAAATTCCCAGAATCTACTGTTAATACATAAATAAAGTAAATTTCAGAAAGAATATATTTAATTTTTTTTCCGTCGTCATTAATTTTAATACCGATTTTTTTTTTTTTCTTAAAAATCAAGACAATCATTTTATTTTGATTGTAACTTCATTAGTTTTCATGCTAACGATGTCTACCACCACACAATTTAAAGGTCTTTTCAAGAACTTTAATAGGCGTCATATAAGTTTTCCTCGAAAAACATTTTCCGCTACAGGACGTTGAACGTTTCTATTATAGCTATCTTCGAAATTGACTTCAACTTTTGGGAGTCATAACACGGGTTAGCACCATCGGCACTATATAACTTTGGTTTCTTGGGCTATTCCCTAGCTACAGTTCAAATTTCATATCAATCCATTCCATCCGAAAAAATTGGTAACCAATATGCTTCAGTGACTGGACTATTATACTATTTTGTAGAAACTTGTGGAAAATTGTTGCGTTAAAAAAAAACACTTTCAACTGCGTAGTAGTCCACGGAAACGCCATTAACGGCCGACAGAACTAATTGTCGTTTTACTACCAGCCACTTTGTCGATGCTGAAAGTTCCTTTGCGTTGCCATATACAAATGCGGATAAGAGCGGTCGACAATGCCGAGGTGAAGTAAGTGTACAATAAAGATTAAAACCCCATAAAATCCAGACAAAAGAGTCAATGGGAGTATGTAAAAAGTAACGAATAGACCCATTAAGTTGGTAAATGTAGATCTGAGGCAGTTACAAGTACGCTGAGGATCCCTAGTTGGCAATTCGTCGTGTGGGGTAACGCTGGTCTCGGTGAGCGCTCTTGTTAACAGCCCAGATTAGCGCTCCCCAGGCAAGGCTTTTCACCTGTCGCTACACATTTGAAGTGTCTACACGATGTTCCAGCGCTGCTGCCGTTTTCTCCGATGGAAACTATGGCACCCTAGAGCTGGCTGCGGTCGGTTTCGAGCCAAGTGGGTTTATTCGCTTCGTTCTCGACATCCTGGAATGTCTCCAGTCAACTGGGCGCACAAGTCGTGTAAAAACGTCAACTCGACGAGTACGCAGTAACAGAAACAGTAGTAGTAAGAAACTTTTTTATCAAAACAGTATTTTGCCAAAAACGAATAGTACGCGCGTGTTCTACATCAGTATCTTATTCAGAATTTAGCATCGTATCTTGAGAAGTTGATGAGTAATCGCAGTGTTCCTCGAAATAAGTTCCTGCATAAAGTATCGCATGAGTTACATTTGTATTTAAAGAAAATATCGATAACGTTATATGTAAAACAAATATCGGGCATCTTAAACTATTAGACTAAAACATTCTACAAGCTAATTCAAATGAGTTATAAACTCATCAAAAAAATATATCACAATGCTTATTGTTGCATTAAAAAATGAGTTTAAGGTCTATTTGTAGAAATGTCAAAATAATAACACCATTTGAACAAAAATTTCTCGAATTATCTTGTTAAAGAGTTGCAAATTTTGAATTTTAAATGATATTAAACATATGAAAAACTATTCCTCGTAGATATCCAACTTTCTTCAACAGATACATTTATTAAGATGAATGATCACAAGCGAAACATGCTTACAATCAGACTTTGTTATATTGCAACAAGCAAAAATTATGTCGTGATAGTAGAGGAAATACAATATATAGTCTTCCTGTCGCCATCCCGGAAGATTATTTACGTAGCACGATTTTCGTGGTACAGGAAACACTTACTTACTGACAGTCTGAGGCACCTTTCTACTTAGACTGTCCACGAAATTTTAAGGACATAAATTTGTTCCTATGAACGGCTGTTAACCTCAGAGACTACCGATTTCCATAAAAAATGTATGTTTCCATAATAATACATGCTACGAATAATATTTAAAAGAAAAAATCAATCAGGGACTGAAAAATTGCCACAGAAATTGCCAGGTCTGATAGAATCAAACGGACGAAAGGGGATTTTCAACCGTTTAAATAAAATAAAAAAGAAACCTGGTCTTAGTGCTGCATCTACACAAAATCTTCAAAGCATGCATTGCCTAGAGACGTAGCATAAGGTGAAGATCAGTTATTTTCCTAAGGTGGAATGAAAAACTTTAAGCTCCAAGGAGGAGTGTACCTATGGTTGATCGCAGTGGTAAAAGTATGATTTATCTGCTTTATATACCTACAATCTATAATCTACAATCTGTTCCCTAGCAGGAACCTTATTGTCCCATTCATCTGAATCCTGAAAACTAGTTCTTCGACAAAGAAATTCAATCTGTTCTCTTGCTTTTTGTCACATATTTGTGAAAATACTCCACGTACAGTGAAACACATAGCTTCTATCAGTTTCTTAAAAGGTTCTTGACATTGTGCTGTACAGATAAACTATTTTTCAGAAAGTCGATGTAGGGGTTTAGCGATATTGACAGAATTCTCCACAAACATCCTATAGCATATGCAGAGTCCCAGGAAACTTGTTAATTCTGGTTTGTCATTTGGTATAGGCCATTTCCAGATGATTTCGATTTTCTTTGGATCAGTCTTCACTTCTCCAAAGAAATAATATGACCCAAGTACTTATCTCGATTACGATAGGCATCATAGTCAAGACAAGTTTTCCAAGTCATCCCAAGCAGAATTGTTTCCATAAGTCTTTTAAACCTGGCCGACCCGTTACGAAGGCATCACTTTCAACTGCTAGCCTTTTTCCATGGAAAGCATCACATTTTCTTTATCGTCTATATGGAATTGCCAATAGGCGCGTTTCAAATCAGTGTGGAAAACTATCGAGATTCATACTTCATATATATATATAGATGCCATATAATAAAGCATTAGTTTTCCGTTTTCGGCTAATTCTTGCCGACCAATTACAGCCAAGAGTACGTCGGAAATACTACGGGAAAACGTCACGTTTATGATCTGAAGCGGGACGACAGGTATGAATCAACTCGTCTAATGTGGCGGTCTCCGTGGTCTGCCACGGTGTGGGAATGCTAAAATTGAATTACTCGTTAGTGATTTAAATGAGAGGTCTCCGCTTGTCCCGCCATAAATCAGTACGGCGTGAGTTCGCGCCGGTAACAATATAGTAATTAATAGCGGCCCACGAGAATATTAGTATCGAAAAATAAACATTAGATAATCTGTAATTATAGGGGGACGGGGTTATCGATCCATCTGATCCGGGCGCGAGGTAACAATAAAGTAACAGTGGATGCGAGTCTCGGGACCGGCTTCATAAATCTAGTCCAGGACCTGAAACATGATATACTGCCGAAGGAAATTAGTACCCTTTCGGTGGAGTGAAGGAATTGCTTGTTATACCATTAGAGAATCGCATTAAATAAGGCGTTTTTTTCAAGTCGAAATGCAGTCAAATGTACGAGGTTTGATAAAAAAAATAATGGGAATTGTTAATTTTCCCAGAAAGCATTCACTTAGTCTTCAAAGAATTCCCCCAGCTGGCTAAAAAATGATAGAACCATAACTGACAGTGCTGCCAATACACAAATAAAGAATCCACTAGACAAGATACACTTTATATTCAATAAATTTTGATTCATTATCATGTAATTGCGTCAGTTCTTTTTATTTTCATGTGAAACAATTAAAACCTCACATTACGAACTTCTTAGACTTCTTAGCAATATCTCCAAGTGACACTCTCTGATATTTAAAAGAATTGCCAATGGCTTACAGTTACCTTTAATTTTTTCATGTAGTAACGTTTTTAAGAGTTTGGGGACAACCGAAAAATTCTTGCAGAGAATGGCATTTTCCCATAAGTTTACAATTAAAAAAGATTTCCTCTTCAGGAAAACTCGTGAGACAAACCGATCATTTATCAACGAAATACGTAAACCACCTGAGTAATCAATAAACACATTATATTATCTCTAATTGGTATTTTTAGATACTAAGTTTTATCTATTACTATTCAAGGTGCAGTGTGATTGTCAATGTGTAAATAAGGAAGGTCTTTCTGAAATAGGTAGATTTCTATTTTTTATATTATTTTTATATTAGAATGCTTTTGAGAGCTTTGATTGCTTATAATATTATGCAGCTTATTAATTTTATGATAACTGGTTTTAAAATAAGGCAACTTGCAATTTTTCGTAGTCAGTATAAACTAATATCTTATGTTAATTTTACTGTATAGCTTTGGGTTCAGTTTATAAATTACAAAAAAATTGCAAATCCGCAAAACGCATCTACTGCAATATATTAAAAATACTTGCATTTTTATAAATGATTATTATTTTGGACTTGTACACAAGACATTCATAAAATTACATTATTAATCTTTCCCTTTAGGCACATTAAGAAGAAAAGCTTTAATAAAGTTACAAACAGTTTCCTGACCGAAGTTCGTACCAAATTAGGAAAGATAAGTACTAGGTAACATTTTTATTCATTACCTTTGGGTTTGAGATTATTATTTTTCTTAAATTATGTTTATTTTTTCAGTACCCTTCCGAGGATAATAAAAGATAATGGCACCTAAGGTATGAAATTTTCACTTAATTTATTAAATTACGCTGGTAATAACTTTTAGATTGAATTTTGTAAATAATATTGTAATATTATAGAAACAGCTAAAGATGTTCTAAACATAATTCTATAAAACATTAATAATATTAATCCATTATCATTTTACAGAAGAATTTAATTTGGTTTGTTCAATTTTATTTACAGTTACCATAATTTTTCTTAAAAAAAACTACATAAAAAATCGGTAAAAGAAAGCGTTGATAAAGTTTTCTCAAGCGAAATATTTTGAACTTCTTGAAAGTATCATTAATTAATAAAAACCTTTTATTTCAATGTATATCCTCTTAATTGAAATAACACTCCTGTTTATTCTTAGAAAAATTTATTTATTGTACTGTGTCCGTCCATTTTAGGGACTTGCGAGACGGAAAGGAACAACTGATCATGGAACGTCGTACGAACAAAAAATAGCTGCATTGTTAGGAGTAAGATGCGCTCTTCGTGATGACATAGAGGATATGTGGATGGGTACTAATATAGATGGATTGGGGGCATTCGACGATTTGGTCTTATTTCTACAGAAAAAGAGTGGAAGCAGCATTAGTAAGGAAGTGTATCTAATTCAAATTAAGTATAAGAAAAATAGAAACATAAATGTATCTTCAAGTGATAATGATTTGCAGAAGTACCAAACAAGTTTCTTGAAAATTAAAGAAGATTTTTCAAACTGCACATCACCCTTAATAGACTGTTGTGCATTTCAGGACACGAAATTCTTATTATTTACCAACACTCAAATACACGCATCTAATAACGTAACATTCTCGGAATATCAAAATTCTAATGATTTCATAAACACAGGTAAAATGTTTCAAATCTCTAGCATTAACTATGATCACGATTTCCTAAAACAAACTCTGCTTTACTCAAATCAAGTGGATGTATCGAAAGTACAGAATATTATAAAAAATGAAACTGACAAATATTTTATAAATTGCAACGTAGAAGCAATAATAAAGTTCTTTGAGAACTGGCATTCTGAGTATTTTGAAAACAAAATGGCATTAGAGAAAGAAGATATTCGATCTTTTATGCTTGAAACGATGTTATCAAATTACATTCCAGAACCAAAAACGACTGAATTCCCAAAAGCTAGCATATGGAACGAAGTTGCAAGTCAGTTTCAATTTGTGTTTGTAAAAAAGGAAGATAACCTAACAAAAATTTGGCAGGCTGTAAATCTTCAAATGTGTAAGTGTTTCGATGATCAAAGTACAGATTTATTAAAATGGAACGAACCGTTAAGTCAACCATCAAGCAAAGTAAGCAAAATTAAACAATACTTTCAGAAAATTCAACCACCTATTAGGAAAGACAAAAGTTCGTATAACATTAAAGACTTATATCTACTGCTGTGGCAAGTCTGTGAACTACCACTAATATTGAATCTAAATGTAAATATTGATTCTCAAAAAGACATATATGTCGTATTATCGAAATTGCATTCATCTAAGTCTAATAGACGTTACATTTTTCTTGGAGAGGTTACTGGTGATTTTGACCAGTACTTTACACATTTTAACTTTCTTCGAATTGACAGGGACATTCAGGAAAAGGTTTTGAAAAATTCTTACGTGTCCTTGCAGGGTAAAGAAGCGGTGACATTAGAAAAATTAAAGCTAAGTGATGCAGCATTGGAAACAATATCGCCTGAGCTATTAATAGAATTGTTACAACCAATCACAAAGAAGGCTGAAGCTGGTCCCGTCTACATACCTAGGTTCATACGGCAACCTATTGTTTCAGTTAATGTTTTACTTATACCAAAGGTTGTATTTGTACTACTAACAGGCGGTGTTCCAATAAATTATCATGTATTAAAAAGATTTGGAATAACGATGCCGTGGCACATATATAATCTTTATGCTAACGAACGTGTTATTACAGAAGGTAATACAAATTTTGACCCAGGTAAAATAAAAAACATTATTTGGAACAAATATGCTATTAGTTCGAAAGAGTACAAATACATTGAAGACAATATAAATAAAGTTCGAAAATGTCGAGACCAAACAGTTCACTACCTTAGATTTCTCGATGAGAACAAATTAGAATGGTTACGCTCCACCAAAAATACATATCAAGTTAAACCTTTTCTCGTTTCAAGTCCAGAAAATTATTTACCCGATTCAAGGCTATTTCATTATCTAACGTTTAATATCCTATCAGGTAACACCGGGGAAGGAAAATCTACTCTCTTAAAGTTTCTGGCGGACGATTCTCCTGCTGATGTATGGGTGATAAAATTAAATATAAGGGAAGTAGATGAATATATAGAAAAGGGCGAATTCTCCGAAATAAAAATTTTTCTCTACCATCAGAGTATAGAACATTTCAACGGATTTAATCAGTTTTCGTTGGAACTATTTCAAAGTTTATATGATGAACTGAATATAGCAATTATAATTGATGGAATAGATGAAGTTGAATATAACGTAAACATAGAAAATTTTTTAGATGCAGTTAAGACCCTTGGAATTAAAACTATAATTGCAACACGACCCTCCTTAAAGAGTGCTCTAGAAAAGAAGTTTCAAATGCCTTTACTATTACTAAACCCATTTAACAACGAAGATTGCAAATCACTGATGAAGCTTACTTTACAAAATAACTATGATGAACAAGAAGCCCATATAAAATTAATTTTAGCAAAAATATCCCAGTGGGATAATGCCGTAGGAGTTCCTTTATTGTTAAAATTGTTTTTATCGCTACTCAAAGACGGAAGTTTATTAGATTTTAAAAAATTTGATATAAGCGACTTATTCGATAGATATATAAGAGAACAACTGACAAAATTAAAGAGTTATAACAAATTTACAATAAGGACCCTTTCAAGATCGGCTCTGTTTGTATTATATAAAGAAAATGCAATCTCAGAGTTGTTCGCAATTGAAGAATACCTTGAGGACATCGAAGAAAAGATGGAAGTTTTTATAAAGTCTAATTTATTTGAAAAACATAATAGTAATAACATTCCTGTATTCGCACACAAATCTTTGGCAGAATTTTTGACAGCGAAATATTTATCTAAACTAGCAGAAAAACCAGTTAGTGACGTATTTCACAAATTTTTTAAGAGCTTATTTTATAAGGAGATGGAAACTGTTCGATTATTTTTTGACATAATAACATTAAAAGGTTCTGTACTACAAGGGATTATTACTGGCAATAATCATACAGTTTTATGTCACAAAATCAATAAAAATTTGGTAGACAAGTTTGGAAGACACGGATTGCATATTGCAGCTTCTTACGGAAATAAATGTGAGTTACGAATTTTACAGTCATTTTGGTCGGGGGTGATTATATATGAGCCTTATAACAATATATTTGTCAATAATGTTATCGAGCTCTGTCAAAAATTTGAAAGAAGAAATGCCGTGCCGTTAAATTTTGTATGTGAACTGTTACAAAAAGGTTTAGATCCATTTCAGAAAGATAGTTTGTTTGAAATGGATGTTTTTGAATTCGCAATTGAATCAGGTTCGTTAGAAATTATTGAAGCACTATTTAGTAAACAATTTATAAAACAATTAGAAAACATAAATGTCGATGTTCTCTTATGTCATGTTGTGAGAAACGGGTATGTAAACGTATTTAGAGAAATAAAAATCACAAATTTTAAATTAAAGGTATTGCCTGCCTTGGACAACTTATTACATATAGCTTTGTCTAGTGAAAACATTGAAATAATAAAAGAACTAACTAATGGCGCCATTCCCATTGACGAACAAAATAATTTTGGATATACGCCACTCATTAGTTGGTTGACTTCATCAAAATTAGTGAACTCAAATGAATATTTGCTTTCGAATATCATTAATAGGAACTCACCACTTAACAACAACCAGTTGAATATATTAAACCATTTAATTGACAAGAAGGTCAATCTGAATGCAGTTAATGGCTTTGGTGAAACACCACTCCATGCATTTTGTGGTTCTCAAGAACAATCTCTAATCGAATTACTAATCCGAAATGGCGCTGAAGTGAATAGAAAAACAAATCTGGGAGCGATACCCCTTCATTATGCTTCACAATTTTCAATAGAAAATGTTAAATTACTTGTAAAATATAACTCCACTATTGATTTTTCGAACTTTCAAGGATTCACTCCCTTATGCTGCGCTGTGGAAAACAATAAGATAGATATAGTAAAATATTTAATAAGCAGAGGGGCAAAAGTAAATCGAAGTAAAACAGAAGTAACTCCATTAAATGTTGCAGTTTCAAAGGGTCATTTGGATTGCGCAAGGTTATTATTAGAAAAACACGCTAAAATTAATAACACTCAAATAAATAATACCCTGGCAGTTGCTGTTGCTTCTGGATCCTTAAGTTGTGTTAATTTATTACTTGAAGATAAAGCAAAAGCTTATAAGGAGCTATTCCACTTAGCCATTTCATTGAATCAAAAACAAGTCATAGAATTCTTATTATCTAAAAAAGTAAATATTAATACAAACACAGTTTTGAATAAACTACTTTTTCAGGCTATATATACAGCCGACATTGATTTAATTGACATTCTTATATCACACGGGGCAGATGTTAACGCAAAGGATACTCAAAGTGGCGATAATCCACTACATGTGGCATGTATCTTAGGATTAGAAAAAGTTGCAAAACATTTAAGTAAGCACAAATCAGTAATTAATATGGAAAATAATAATGCTAAGACCCCAGTAATTGTAGCTGCTGAAACTGGTAATTTAGAAATCTTAAAAATTCTTTGTAATAACGGAAGCGATTTACCGAAATATGGTTCTATTGCATTATATCTAGCTGCTAGAGGTGACCACAGTGATGTGGTTGACTATCTTATCTCGACTGGTGTTGATGTTAACGGCACTGATTTAAAAGGCCGAGCTCCAATCCACCATGCATCAGGAGATAACTTATATTATGTTAAATATTTAATTCGAAAGGGAGCTAATTCTAATTTAAAAACTGTCAATGAAGGTTTTACTCCATTAATGATAGCCGCTGAAAAAGGACTTTTGGATGTTGTACAATATCTGACAGAAGACGGAGCTACGGTAAACGAAGAAGACAAAAATCGGCGTATTGCTTTGACATATGCATCACAAGAAGGTCATTTAGAATGCGTGAAATTTCTCATTGATAAAGGTAGTGACGTAGAGAAATATGGACCTCTGGCTATAAGTATTGCAGTCGCTAGAGGACATGTTACCGCAGTAGAATGTCTTATTTCAGCAGGTGCTGATATAAATGGAATAGCAGACTATGATAGGGCCCCAATTCATGTAGCAGTCTTAAAGAATGATTTAGAGATCGTTAAATATTTGTTAAATAACGGAGCTGATATTAATTCAAAAACTCTTCTTTACGGTTGGACACCACTAATGATCGCATCCATAGGTCGTAAAGACATTGTTGAATATCTAGTCAAAAATGGAGCTAAATTAAATGAAGTGGACGTTTTTCGGTTTACTGCTTTAATACATGCATCTCGAGGAGGTCACCTAGAATGTGCAAGGATTCTTATTGATGAAGGTAGTGACCTGAAGAAGTATGGACCATCTGCTCTATATATAGCTGCTTATTACGGCCATGTAGATATAGTAAATTACCTTTCATCATTGATAGCATCGTAAACGATGAAATTAAGTTATTTTGAAAATCTTACTATATTTTAGTAGTATACAGTGATTCACAATTTATTAATTCAAAAAAATATAGAAAAATGTACAAAGTCATTCACATAAGTAGAATTTTATCACATCAATTTTATTTCATTTATATTTTATTTTAATTGTTGCTTTCATTATTGTTAATAATTCCTACTATTGTTGAATATTAGTAATAAAAAGTAAAAGTAATAAAAGTAGTAGTAATAAAAAAACTAATACCCTTTATTACAACAATTAAAAAAATCGATAGAAAGATAGAAAGTCAGGAGACCTCAGTAATTATATCCATCATACAGTCATTTCGTTTCTGGAATTAATACGCCCATTTACAGATTCCAGAATACACTGACATGTAAATTTTTCTGTCGCAATTTATGTAACACACAATTGCAAGTTATTACTACTGGATTTAAAGTAAGAATACCGTGCAAAACTTTCCAAAAAGAATTAGAACGTATTATCAATTTCCATTGAGTGTTTCCTTGAAATAAGGACCTAATGAGCTGAAAATTTTATATAACGAGGCATGTTAAATGCACTTGACTTAGATGGTTATCCGATTCTCTATTGTTCTAAAACAGCTGCCGGCGATCACTTCTACAATTTACTTATNTAAAGGTATTGCCTGCCTTGGACAACTTATTACATATAGCTTTGTCTAGTGAAAACATTGAAATAATAAAAGAACTAACTAATGGCGCCATTCCCATTGACGAACAAAATAATTTTGGATATACGCCACTCATTAGTTGGTTGACTTCATCAAAATTAGTAAACTCTAATGAATATTTACTTTCGACAGTCATGAATAGGAACTCACCACTAAACGAGAACCAGTTGAATATATTAAACCATCTAATTGATAAGAAGGTCAATCTAAACGCAGTTAATGGTTCAGGTGAAACGCCACTTCATGCTTTTTGTGGATATCAAGAAGAATCCATAGTCGAATTAATAATCCGAAATGGCGCTGAAATAAATAGGAAGACAAACCTGGGAGACTTACCTCTTCATTACGCTTCACAACATTCACTGGAAAATGTTAAATTACTTGTGAAACATAACTCCATTATTGATATTTCAAACAGCATTGGATACACTCCCTTGTGTTACGCAGTAAAAAGTAACAAGCTAGATATAATAAAGTATTTAAAAAAAAAAGGAGCAACAGTAAATAGAAATAAAAAAGAGCCAAGTCCGCTGAATATAGCAGTTTCAAAGGGCTATGTAGAATGCGCAAAATTATTGATAGAAAAAGGTGCCAAAATTAATAACAATAATTGTTTAAAAAATAATACCATATTATGGACTTATGCCTCTGGAGATTTAAGTTGTATCAAATTATTACTTCAAAATGGAGCAAAATTTAATGAATGGCTGCTAGGAATGGCTATGATAACTAATCACCAACACATCGTTAAATTTCTTTTATCCAAAAAACTACTTGTTAGTAAAAACATAAACTTGAATAAACTAATTTACCAAGCTGTAGGAGCAAACGATACTGATCTATTTGATCTTCTTATATCATATGGGGCAGATATTCATACAAAAAGTGAAGAAAATAATGGCGATACTCCACTACATTTGGCTTGTTTGTTAGGATCAGAAAAAATTGTAGAACATTTAAGTAAACACAAATCGCTAGTGAATGTGGAAAATAATACTGGTCAGACACCAGTGTTTCGAGCAGCTGAATCTGGTAATTTTGAGGTTTTATATATTCTCGTTAATAATGGAAGCGATTTAAGTAAGTATGGTTCTGATGCATTATATATAGCTAGTAGGAATGGTTACAATGATGTAGTTGACTATCTCATCTTGGCTGGAGCTGAAGTTAATGGAACTAACTCAATGGGGTGTGCTCCAATTCACCATGCATCAGAAAGTAACTTAAATTGTGTTGAACATTTGAAACGAAAAGGAGCTGATATTAATTTGAAAACTGTTAATGAAGGTATTACTCCACTAATGCTAGCTGCTACGAAAGGACTTTTGGATATTGTAGAATATTTAACAGCAAATGGAGTTAATGTAAACGAAGAATGCAACTCACGTCTATATACTGCCTTGATCTTCGCGTCTGTAAAAGGTCACCTAGAATGTGTAAAATTTCTAATTGACGAAGGTAGTGATCTGTGCAAATATGGACCACTGGCTATATATTCTGCAGCTTGTGGAGAACATGATGCCATAATAGACCATCTTATTTCTGCAGGTGCTGACATAAATGGAATAATAGACAATAATAGTGCTCCAATTCATGTTGCAATTCCACATAACAATTTAAAAGCTGTCAAATATTTATTAAAAAAGGGTGCAGATCCAAAATCTCTTCCTACAGGTAATACTCTTTTAATGCTAGCAGCTTACAAAGGTCACAAGGAGGTTGCCCAGTATTTAGTGGAAAATGGGGCTCAAATAGACGCAAAAAATACTGATCGGCATACTGCTTTAACACTGGCGTGTCAGGAAGGTCACCTACCATGTGTAAAATTCTTCATTAATAATGTTTACGATGTTCACAGATACGGGCATCTTGCTTTATACATTGCAATTCGTAATAGTCAAACTGCTATAGCTGAATTTCTTATTTCAGTAGGTGCTCATATAAATGGGTTTATAGACGGTGACAAAGCAGCAATTCATATTGCAGCTACGAACGATGAGTTAAAGGTAGTGAAAAATTTATTACACAAAGGAGCTAATATTAATTCAAAAACTCGTTCTACGAATTCTACACCACTAATACTAGCAGCTTATAAAGGCTATATAGATATCGTGGAACATCTAGCAGAACATGGAGCCGAGTTAGATGAAGAGAACTTAAATTGCCGTACTGCTCTAATATTTGCTTCTCAAGAAGGTCACTTAGAATGTGTAAAATTCCTCATCGATAAAGGCAGTAACGTGAGCAAATATGGACAATTCGCTATATACATTGCAGCTGCTCGCAGACATATCGCTGTAGTAGACTACCTTATATCAGCAGGTGCTAATATAAACGGAATATGCATATGCATATGCATATGTATGAATATGCAATGCATCTTGCAGTTTTACAAGGGGATTTAGATGTCGTGAAATGTTTAACAGAAAAGGGAGCTGATATTAATTTAAAAACTCGTTCCGAAAGTTGCACACCACTAATGCTAGCTGCTTTCGGAGGTTATAGAGAAATTGTGGAATATCTGACGGAAAACGGAGCTTCACTAAACGAAAGAAATACGGATGAGCAGAGCGCTTTAACATTAGCATCTGAGGGAGGTTACCTAGAATGTGTAAGATACCTCATCGACAAAGGCGCTCATTGACTTTCAGAAATAAATAAAAAAGGAATGAATCGGTGTTAATATCGCTATTAATAAAGACAAGGATGTGTATAAATATGGATCCTTTGCGCTCCATAAACATGTTGAAGTAACATCTTCCTTCAGGAGGCACCGACATAAATATAATTACAAAACTCTAATAAATATTTATTAAAGAAGCTGACATTAATTTGAAAGACATTTGTGGCAATACACCACTGATACTGGCAGCAAAAAGGATTTAAAGTTAATGCGACACATTAACCAGAAAAGGGAGACACATTGGATGTTGTTTTTGCTTTGCCTGTCCCATAAATCTGTCTGTTATTGTTAGATTCAAAATACAGGAAAGTACCTTGCTAAATAAAATTGAAGCAGATTTAGAACCTATCCAACACATTATCAGTTTCCATTGTATGTTTCCTTGAAATAAGGTCCTAATGAGTTGAAAATTTTATAAAACGAGGCATGTTAAATGCACTTGACGTTAGATGGTTATCCGATTCTCTATTGTTCTAAAACAGCTGCCGGCGATCACTTCTACAATTTACTTATGTTACGGTTACTTAAGGTCTTTGAATCGCATTACTTACCACAAAATACATATGTAGAAAGAATTTAGATTTATTATTTATACTCGTCCACTATATGCTATGAGGAACACGGAAGAATTTTCCAACAATTAATGTAACACTAAATGCTGCATTAAACGTTACTTGTTGCCCAGTTCGCTCTGCAAGTTGTCATCGTCAAGAGAATATTTCTTAATAACCTTTTAGACACACAGATGCAGATGCAGACAATTCACGCGCCAGGCACTTTTTGGGTCATTTGACTGGAAAAAGTTCGTATCAGCCTGTCCTAACTGGTTTACATTTCGAAATGCATGGTGTTAACATTTTGAAAAATATTGCGTTAGGGTAAATGCCTTCGAAGTCCAAATTTTACCAGTCTAAATCGAATATCTTCAGAAATATTTCGTATATTTTTAAAAAACATCTGCTATCTTAAAATTTTCTGCTTGAACTACATTGAAATGTATAATTTATAACAGTCTCTGTGTTTTAGGAGAAAATAGTATATATTGTGAAAAATTTATCAAAACATATTTTACTACAATGTCGTGTTTCTATTTAAAGTTTTTCATGGACAATTATTACAAAGCAGTAACAAAATATTATATTAGATTAGTTAGCTTTGGTTTTATCGCATCTTCGAACATGTTCGATATTGGTTTTGATATAGATGTTGGTTGTTCAAAGCAAGATAATTTAATTTTCTTGAGATATTGTGTCAAAAACTTCTTACTTATAGGCATTTATTAGCTGTAAAATGTTTGTTTACAATATTTGATTACTTTTATGTTTTATTTATGTCTTAAACTATTGTAATTATTATTTAAATAAAATGTATGTATAATAATATGTGGTATATATTTTTTCTGTATATTAATTTTTCGGTGTTGAAGCTCTCAAAAACCAATAATTTCATACAGTTTTCTAAAACTGAAGCACACATTTCATTATTCCTCCGACATAAACAACCTGAAAATGAATACTGTTTGGAGCTCTATTCGAATGAAATTCATTCTACAAATATTTATTGGCGTTGTTACGATAATAAGCATTCACAGGGCATAGCGTTGTCAGACAGACGTATTAGAATTCAATACACATGTGTTTCTTTATTCTTGTTTGACAATCACCATAAAAAATCGTCGCAGCACGCTTTGTATTAAATGAAGCATATAGACAAGTTCGTTTAACTTCAATTATAAGTCGACCAGTAAAATATTCATCGCTTCCTAGGGGAGACTGGAGCAAATGGGTCCGGTTATAGTCCTTGTTTAACCTAGAAATACTAAATATTACATCTTGCCCACCGTTGGGAACATAATTTTTCGAAACATAAGGTTCATTTCGTACAACAACAGTCCCGTCTTAAACTCTAATTTCAGGAAGTAGTGTCAAGTTTTTAGTAAAAGAAATGAATCTGGAAAGACAGTAAGATTTATAAAAGAGTAGTTTTATGGACAGTATTTATGTGAAAAATAGTTGTAAAAGTGTTGTTAATAAGAAGTGAAATTGAGGGTACGTTAAAACTGAAACGAAAATAACTTCATAACGTCACTAGGAAAGTTGCATATCAATAAAAACTTTAACAAATTGAGAAAAATGAACTATTTTTACGTTTACAGACATTGTTAGCATGGACCTCCAATTTGTCATATAAAGTTTTTATGTAATATGTAATTCTAGAAAATTTTCAGAAAAGTACTTGGCAGTCATTTGTTTGACATAAATATATTTATGAACTGCCAGAAATTCACAAAGTTAGTCGAGGTCGAGCCATGTAAAGAGAAACGGTGTGCCAAAACAAAAAAAAATAGTTAATTTGCATTGAAAATAAAAAAAAAACAAGTACAAAATAATAAACAGTTTAAGTTTTACTTGAATGTCAAGCTAAGAGATGAAAATAAAGTAAAAATTAACCAGTCAAGAAATTTACCAAGATAAACCTAGAAGAAACTATCTTCTAGTTTAGCTGTCAAAGATCAGACCGAAATTTGAAATTTCAAAGAAAAGAACTTAGGCAATCCACAGTGCTAAACAGCGACTACTAGAATACATGAAGCGAACCGAGGTACCAAGCGGCGCAAACAAATTCAAGGCAAAACAAGATACTAGGTGGCTCAAAGAATAGTGAAAGGAAAGAAAATTATGTTTTTAACAAAGCAATATTCGCCGTTTTTACCAAATTCCTTTTTAAAAAAATATGTATTACATTATGGGCTCTCGAATTATTTATTCTATATAAAAAATGTTAAATTTCCATATTATGTCTACAGTATGTCCACAGAAAAGGTGTTGTATAGGAAAAACTTTCTTATTTTTCATTTTACCGAAAAAAGTTACTCTTGATAAAAAATGTTGCTGGTTCATAGAGTAAGATTGGGATAGAAAAATTTTACATTTCTTGTACGAGGTGTCCAAAAAAATTGAAAAAACTTTAAATGGTACACCAAATGCCATCATGTTAACGTCCCATCGCCCTTGATACCAAGTTTCCATGACCTTGATATCTTGGTGGGATCGTTCTCCCTGTTCTTCACTAAAGTCCCAAGGTTCTCAGGAAATTTATCGAGGTGGGAATCAACAAAATGGAGATTTAAATTCAACAGAGATTGAACGATACTGTTTTAGTATTTTGATTACTGGGTTATAGAGTTATAAGGTTACGCAGATATGAATTTAGTTGAATGGGTTACCAGGTTTTAGGTTTACAATTGGTTGGGTTTATCGGGTTTAACGGTTTTAGTGGATTTTGATGTGTTTTTTGTGTCAAACCCCAAAAACATACAGATACAGTCAGACTTCCAGGCCGAATTTTTTTTTTTGTGTGGCTGTGTTATTTATTATTATTACTTTCTGGTATCGAAGAACATTGTTTGAATTCATTTGATAAGATCTTTCCATTTGTGTTTTAAAATAAAGTAAAAAATACGAGTGGTTTAAATAATATATCTCTATTACCGTTTCTTTAGCTTTCCCCGCTCCACCCCACCGCTTCCATGTTAACGACTCGCCGTCCCGCCGCCATAAATTTCTCGTTTTTGAATTCAGATCGGCAAGCGAAGATGCACGGAACGTGGGTACAATGCTTACGGCGCCTTATGAATTTAGTTTCCGCTATCACTTCCGCCAGACCTCAACTAAATCATAACGACACCGCCATATACCATTCGGTACGGCAAGATGTCTGTATTTTGTTATTAAATATTCATGTTAGTCACAGTAGTCGTGCATGCAGGCATCGGGCACATCCTTTCCGATGTTTTTAGGAGAATGGATTTATTCAAATGTTCGTATAAGTAGTACCTCGGAGACGCGTTGGCAGAATCTAACGGTGGTTGGTGTATTTCGTTCAGCGATAGTGGATAACTTGAGAGTACCACTAAGTTTTCAATATTGGGTGTAACATGTAGTTATAAGCCAAAATTAAATAACGCCACCGAAATATGTTGATTAAAGAGGCTCCAGAGAGGTTAAGTCGCTGTCACAGTTAAGGTCCGTGAATAAATCGTACATTCCAGGTCCGTACTTTGTTTTCGTGCGCCATGGCGAAAAATACAATGTGAAAAATCTTTGGAATATTCCCCTAGGCTTAAAGCAATTTCTTTCTACAAAATTCGTTGCCATAAAGTAAAAATTAGTTGTTTGAAAAAAAAACATACCCAAAAAAGGGCAATTTCTTTCAAAGTTATTTTTTTATCGTTATAATTAATAAAATCGTCGAATTTTTTTAATGGCGTGGTAACACAACTCTTTACGAAGAAAACAAACCAAAAATCGTTACTGTAGGGCCATCCGCTGAGAAGATCTAGCCAATTTTAGAGAACGCCTTTTTTTTTCAAAAAATCGATATATCTCGAAAAATAATTAATATTTTTAAATTTTTCAAAAATGTACTTTCTTGGCTTACCGCGGACTATGCTTACAGTTGCAATAGCAACTATGGGAACGTAAATGTAAACGAGTTATAGAAGAAGAGAAAAGGGAAGATTTTTAACGGTTTTTTCGATATATCTCGAAAAGTAACAAACCAATCGATGCTTACAAAAAATCAGTCGATAGATCTCTTTAAAACCTTAACTTTCTCATTTAAAATTTTTCGCTGGTACAGTTCGGTGGAATTTACTAGGCGACAATCATATCGGAGGAAATATGTGCTCCTAATTAAAAAAACTCAGCTCCTTAAGTAATAATCCATCGCCAAGCCTACTATCTGGACGGGGATATCAGAGGACGCCGCTATGGTCTCACGCATCTATGCCGACGAGGGGAAAAATCCTTATCTCGGCCGTTTTCAGTTGAGTTGCATTGCTTTAAGACGATAGATAGGAATTATTGCAACATACGACCATTAGGAGCTGTTCTTGTTGAAGATCTTATCGAGGGCTGGGAGTCTCAGAACGTGCTCTTAACACCTCTCGGAATCAGCGCAGCTTTGATTTTGCGGAGAAAATAGCAGTGGTTAGTTCACAGGCGAGATATAGATGCGCAATGATGAGCAGTCGTCCTATTTAGGCTATCTCGCTTCAGTGGGTCATGTTGGTTGCAGACAAGGATATGGAGACCGGCTGGATTAACAAAAATTATGATACTGTACGAAAAAATTAACAAGTACAGGCGCAAAGGTGTTCCAAAACGTATCAGCAAATTTGTTTTATTTGTAAATATATAGAATTTATTTCAAATCTTTTATAGTTTTGAAATTTATTATCTCGGACTTTAGCTACAATACCTCATACAGTTCATCCATAAACTGCAAAACTACCAGTTCCTTAAAATATATTTTTAAAATGTAGTATTCATGTAGCTATTCAAGACAAATGTAGCATATTATAATCAAACTTATATTTTCTTGAAAGAAAATTGTAGGTCACAGAATGGCGTAAGTGGGATGTAGCACGATAGATGGAGCCAACACTTACGCTCTGTGTATACACATCTCCTTGTGAGTAACGACCTATAACAGCTGAATCGTTCTAACGACATAATGATGAGGACCATCAATAAGTCCCAAACTGACTTGGTTGGTTAAACTTACGAACGATTCTATAGCTGTTGTACTAGGTGTTGTGAGTCTGAACCAAAATGTTTTCTATTTCTGAGAAATATTTACATCTAAGTATAGTCTTGAAATAAGTATATACATTCATTTTGTGTTAAACAAACGATACATTAATATACAATACAAAATATGTTTCTCTAAAATCTATGATCATAAAATTAGGAATGGAATTCGTTTAACCATAAGTATCAAATATTTATTTTAAACGTTACCTATTTTTTAAGTAAGAAATTATATTTCTGTGTAGAAATTTAAAGTATTTAAATGAATAAATAATTTTCTTGAAAGAAGAAAATATTTTCTTGCGTATAAATATACAGGGTGGCCAAATGAAAACGAAATAGAGCCATTGTCAGGAACTGCGTCAAGATTGTAGAAAAAGCTCAGACCCGTCGATTTTAGATTAAATTATAAAATTTAAAATCTGTTGTAAAAAGAATTGTAAGAGCTTTCAAGAGAAATATTACTCAACCTCCAATGCCATTTAAATATTTTGGGGTGATGCTTACCCTTGCATGGGGGTGAAAGTG